CACTGTGACCGTTTCATTGGGGCGGTTTATTCCCAGCAATAGATACCCCAGCAGTTCAGCATGGAAGCGCTCAGAAACTCCTGGGATAATGAAAAGAAGCTTGCTGTAGAAGGCGACACTGTTGTCCTCTAGGCTTTTGGTGACATCGTTCCTGCTCTTGGAGAAGAGGGACAACTCCAGCTTTGCCCCTCCCTGGTCCCATAGGCGGTCCCCCAGCCTCCTGGGTGCCTAGAGCACACCGGGGAGTTCAGGGTGGGGCCTCCCTGGCCTCTGCACCCTACCACCCTATAAGCATCTTGCCTGTGCTGTCGCCCCCACCTGGTCTCGAAAGTCCTGGCCCTCGGGTGGCTTTGAGCAGCTGCTCTGTGGCCCTGGCACCTGGGTGTCTGTGTCAGGCTCGGCCCAGGCGGCTCTGGGTGTGGGAAGGTGTCCTGTGTGGGAGGTGGGGATGGGCTGGAGAGGTGGCCTGGGGCTTGGCCCTGGGACTGGGTGCTGTGGGGTTCACGCCTCCCTTTGCTTCCAGCCCTGCGCCTTCTCTGGGGGACCCTGGTGCCACACCCAGCGCTTTGGGCACTGATTCATCTCACTTCAACTCCAGGAGGACAGGCGTCTTCTGGAAGACTGATGCTGAAACAAATGTGCAAATATAAATTAGATAGCGCCACTTAAAATTTAATATTTTCAATTGGGCCGGGGATTTAGCTCAGTGGTTCCGCCGCTTGCCTTGAAAGTGCGAGGTCCCGAGTTCAATCCCAGGTACCAAAAAAACCCAACCCCAAAACTTAATACTTTCAATTGAAAATACAGGAAAGGGCCAGGGATGTAGCTCAGTGGCACAGCACCTGCCTTGCAAGCACAAGGTCCTGAGTTTGATCCCTGGGACCAAAAAAACAAAAATAAAAGTACAGGAAAAGCAGAGGTGCAGGCTATCTACTCCGTGTGTCGGCACAGTAAGGGGAGACACAGAGCCTTCTTGAGTCCCCAAGCCCCGTCCTCTCCCCTGACCCTGTCCTCCTTCCCTACGGCCCCCACCGCATTGCTGTCCTCTCTTGCTGCCCTGGGTTCTGCCTGGATTTGCACGAACCGAACCACACACTACACAGTGTTCTTGTCCTGGTTTCTTACCCTTATCCTCTGTCTTCGAGCATCACCTTCATGCTGGCTGTGACAGCGTTCCCTGCATTTTCTGTGCTGTATCATATTCCATCCTCTGACTGTACCACATTTTATTTATCCATTCTGCTGTTGATAGTATTCCCCCTGCCGTTTGGGCTATTTTTTCCCCCTGGTTCAAGGAGCTCTTTTTATTGTTTGGCTTGGGGAAATACTATTTTATGTCCCTAGTGAGCCCACCACCAGGAGTGCTAGATTCTAGTCCTGTGCTCTCTACGTACTGGGTCTGGGACCCAGGGCCGGGCACGACCCTCTCCAATTCTCATCTGTCCCTGGAAGTAATTGTGTTTCACTCCCCTTGGTTATCTAGTTGATCAACATGTATTTCGTGAGCACCCACTGTCCCAGCACTGTACCAGGAGGGCTAGCAGCCCCCGGACCTCCTCCCTTGTTCCTGCTCCTCCTCAGGAAGCTCTTCCCCCACTTCCTCCTTGTCCTCTCCCCACTGCAGCCACACTTTTGCTTAGCTCCTTCTCACTCCTCTGTGGAGCCTTAATGTCCAGGGGCCTGTGTGATCCTTGCGTCCCCTGACCCATGAGCTCCGCCCTTGGCAACCTGGTGCTTGTCTTAGCCCGGGCTCCAGCAGGTTCTCAGCACATGCTGAGGGGTTCTGTGGCTGTCTGTGCTGGGAATGATGAGGGCCCTCAGCAGTTCCACGCTCCCAGAGGCAGGCAAGGGGCAACTTTCTTCAGGGAGCCTCACATGCACTTGTGTCTCCTGATGCCTGGCCTGGTGGGTTTGAGGATACAGGACAGGACCGTGAGCTAAGGATCCTGGCAGCCTCCAGAAGCTAGAAGAGGAAAGATTGTAGGTTTTCCCCTATGGCCTCCAGAAAGGGCATAGCCTGATAACACTTTGATATTAGGCAACTGACACTAATTTTTGGATGTTGACCTGTAGAATTATAAGATGATAAATTTGTGTTGTTCTTAACCTCTGAGTTTGTGGGAATTTGTTGCAGCAGCAATAAGAAACTAAGACACCCAACATTTTTATATTAGCTTTTCCATACTCAGCACCCACAACTTAGTGGGAAATAGGTTTACTTTGGCTCATAGTTTCGATGGGTTCAGTCCATGGTTGACTGGGTCCAAGGGCCAAGCCTGGGGGAGCAGAGATAGAGAAAGAAGCAGCTGGGGACAAGAATACACCTTTTAGATCTTATGCCTGGGGACCTGCCCCTCTGACCAGGCTCCATCTCCAAATATAAGATTTGGGGGGACATTTTATTTTATTTTATTTTATTTTGGGTACCGGGGATCAAACTCGGGTCCTTGTTATTTTTCATTTTTAAAAAAATTGTTTATCAATTTATTAAAACAGTTGCCTTAGGCATCTGCGATGGTGACTTCAACCTCCACTCCTGGCTCAGTACTGATGGAAGTAATCTGCTTAACAGTCTCAGAAGGACCGTGCAAATCAGTCAGTTGCTTCTGGATTCTCATCTGGAAATGATCCTATGTCTTAGAGCCTTCACCACAAGGTGTTTTTCTTGTAGTGATTCTCAATGTCCTAGTAGGGATGCAAATGGGTCCTTTCACTTTGAGATTCTTTTCCTTTGGACCTCTGACCCAGTCAGCACACACCTTCTCCAGGGACTTCAAGTTGCGACTGGTGAGGGTGATCCTGATGTGGTGAATCGCCACCTCAGGTTCCACAGGTGTCTTTCCAGGTTTTTAAAAAGTGGTTCAGCCTCCCGACTGACTTATTCCTTGGCAAGAGTGAACAGCGGTGAGTCAAGAGCAGGAGCAGATAGAGCAGAGGACTGCTACCCCACAGATGCCTCTTCCTCAGAAAGAAAGCTTGGGGGACATTTTAGATCTAAAATAACATTCAACCCATGGCCCCCAAAAGGCTCATGTCCATCTCATTATGCAAAATGCAATTAGTCTATCTCAAAGAATCACCAGTCTCTACCAGTTCCAGCACTGCTAAAAAGTTCAAGTCCAAAGCCTCCTCTGAGACTCAGGACAAACTCTTAGCTGTGAGCTCCTATAAAAATCAGAAGCAAAGTTAAATACTTCCAATATAATAGCACAGGATAAATATTCCCATTCCAAAAGGGAGAAAGAGGGAGACAGAAAGGAATTAGACCAAAGCAAGACAAAAACCCAGGAGGGCCCAAATTGAATTGTGTAGTCCAGCACTCAGGGCAGATTGTAATGAAAGGTGAACTCCAAAGGGTGTGGGCAGCCCTTCCTCTGTGGTCTTGCCTGTTGCTCACCGCATGGCCGCTCCCTTGGGTTGGCTCTGCTCACTGCCTGTGGCTTTTCTCATCAGATGATCCATATTCTTGGCATCTTTAACTTCCTATGCTCTCCAGTGCACCTTTGGTTTCATGCTCAGCTTACACATTGGTCTCTCAGGGGCTCACTGCCTCTTCTCCCTGGCCTCCCTTTTAAATCTGGGTGAAAGCCTCCCTGAGCCCACAACATTTGCATTCTGCATGCCAATAAAACCAGCACCACATGGGTGATGCTAAAGTCTGTAGTCAGGCCCCCAAGGTCCATGGCTGTAGTCACCTCTGAGTGGCTGGATGGCTAAACTTGGGGATTCACTTCTCTAGACAGCCCTAACTGAGTAGGGTGCCTCAGGGTTCTCTTCTGAAAGCAATCTTTCAGAGGAGTTTACCCTTTCATATTCCTGAGCCTGTGATGAGTGAGGCCTGGCCATTTTTAAAGATTCCCTCAAGGCATTCTTCCTACTATTCTGATTCAAAGTACTTCTTTTGAATGCTAATGATTTCAGCACCATGTTCTCCTAGGCCTCAACTTTACAGGCATTTCCTTTCAGGCCAAAAGTTAAGTTTTTCAAATTTTTCTGCTTTACCTTTTATCTCCAATTTTCACTATAAATCTGGCTAAAAGTAGCCAGAAGTACTCATTTCACATCTTGAATGTTGGGCTGCTTTGAGATTTCCTTCTTCAGATTAATTAGTTTACCATCTTTAATCTCAGTCTCCTGTAAAGTCTCTGAGTATGAGCAAAATGTAGACAAATTTCCTTCCAGAGTATAACACACATGCCCTGTAGTCGTCCAACAGCCAATGGAGTCCCTGTTCCCAACTGAAACCTCCTGAGCTTGGCCTTTACTGTCCGTATTCCTATCAGCCCTGGTCTTCTGACCTCTAACCAAAATAACCAGCATTACAGGGCTTCTCTAGCCAGGATCTCCAAAGCTTTCCAAACTCTTCTTGGAAGCTGGCTCCAAAAATTTTTCTAAACCATATGGTCAGGTATAGTCACAGAAATGACCCCTACTCCTGGTATCAGTTTTCTGTATTGGACAGCTTTCCCATCACTCAGACAAAATACCCAACACCCAGAAGATAAAAGAGGAGAGGTTTATTTGGCTCATGGTTTCCAGTGGTTTTAGTCCATGGTTGGCTGGCTCCAAGGCAGAAGAAGCTCAGTGGAAGGGCACACCATGCTCCTGTGGGACCACATAACTCTGTAATCATAAGGCTCCCCCAGCCCCAACATAGTGACTGATTGTGAGTTAATGGTTAAAATGTGCTTGTTAGTTCTGGGACATTAGATAAAATCTGTAACAAACATAGGGTTCCTAAGTGAATTACCCATCTCCTTGTTTGTCCAAAATTGATGTTCCAGACACAGCTATCTATAAGACAATCTGCAAACATCTTTTGACCATCAACATTTTTTTCTCTTTTCTGTAAGTTCTGCTTACTAACTTCCCCTGCAACCCCCTATAAGAACAGCCTTGGACTCTGAGCCAGTTGCCTCTCTAAGCTACTTTGTTTTGGGAGTGCCATCTGGCCAGACTAGTAAAGGTCTGTTTTGCTTTCCAACTTGTCCAGTGTGTTCCTTCCCGGGTGTTCTTCGCTGCAGTCAGCTTCTCAGAGCGTTTGGTAAGGCCCCCGGTCTTACACTCCCTGCATGGGAACATGTTGGGGGGGGGGTAGAGAGAGAGAGGCCGGGGATTTAGTTCAGTGGTTTGTTGCCTGCCTTGCAAGCACAAGGTCCCAAGTTTGATCCCCGGTACCAAAAAAAAAGAAAAAAAAATGTACTGTTCCAGGTCATGCACCCAGTGACCCGCCCCTCCAGCCAGGCCCCACCTCTGAACATGACTCTTTTTTTTGGTACTGAGGATCGAACTCAGGTCCTTGTGCTTGCTCAGCAGGTGGCGAAACCACTGAGCTAAATCCCCGGCCCTGAACATGACTTTTGAGGAACATTTTAGATTTAAACCGTAACAGTCTCTCTGGTGGACTGCAGAATAAGGGTTTCTTATCTTGGCCCCTCAGGTTTGTTCTGCCCCTAGTCTTGGTTCTCATGATGGGGTTGGGGCTGACCTCCCTTCTGGCTCCAGGATAGAGCATGTTATCCAGGACTACCCAGTGAGGATGCCACATTCTCTGGTGACAGTGACAGATTAAGTTTAGGCAAGTGATCACAGCAAGGCCAGTCAGAATGCAGCAGTAGCCTCTTTCTGGGGCTGTCAAGAAGGAGGCAAAGTCTTTCCACAATGGACACTGAGCTGAAGAAGGGAGGCCTGGGGCAGGTGGCAGCCACCCAAGAATGGAGAGGACACAAAGGAAAGCAGAGCAAAGGGCTATAAAGAGACATAATCAGCCACCTCATCTTTGACAAAGGAGCCAACCACCCTCATTGGAGGAAAGATAACCTATTTAATAAATGGTGTTGGAAAAACTGGATTTCCACCTGCCAGAGATTAAAACTAGACCCATACCTATCACCATGCACTAATCTAAGATTGAAGTGGATTAAAGATCTAAATATGAAGACAGAAACACTAAACTTACTGGAAGATAAGTTAGGTAGAACTCTTGAAGACATTGGCATAGGAAAAGACTTTATGAACAAATCTTCAGTAGCACGGGAACTAGCACAAAGAATCAACAACTGGGATCTCATCTTATTAAAAAGCTTCTGGACTGCAAGAGAAACCACCAAGAGAGCTAAGAGACAACCTACAATGTGGGAAGAAATATTTAGCAGCTGTACCTCATACAAAGGTCTACTATCGAGAATATATAAAGAACTGAAAAAAAATCAGACCCCCTCAAATTCAAAGACCCAATTCAAAAATGGGCATCTGAAATGAACAGACATTTCTCAGACAAAGAAGTAAAAAACAGCAAATAAATATATGAAAAATTGTTCAACATCACTGGTCATTTGAGAGATGCAGATGAAAACAATGCTGAGATTCCACCTCACCCCAGAAAGAATGGCTGCTATCAAGAAATCAACCAATAACAAATGCTGGTGGGGGTGTGGGGAGAAAGGAACCCTTCTCCATTGTTGGTGGGAGTGCAGACTGGTGCAACCACTGTGGAAATCCGTATGGAGATACCTCAGAGAACTAGGCTTAGAGGTCCCACTTGACCCAGCTATTCCCCTACTGGGTATCTTCCCCAAAGAATCATACCACAGTGATATATGTGCACCCATGTTTATAGCAGCACAGTTTGTAATAGCTAAAGCTTGGAAACAGCCCAAGTCCCCATCAACTGGAAACTGGATAAAGAAGATGTGGTTTTTTTTATAAAATAGAGTACTACTCAGCCATAAAGAATGAGAAACTAGAGACATTTATAGCTAAATGGATGCATATTGAGGCCATACTCAAGTGAAATAAATAGGACACACATGTGTAAATACCGAATAGTTTCTCTAGTGTGAGAAACTGAAAGTGTAAATAAGGATGAAAATGATTAAAATGAATAATTGATAATTTGAAATAGGAAAAGGTCCAAAGGGGTAGGGGTGGCGGGAGGGGAAGGGGAAAGGGAAGAAGGGAAAGTAAAAATTATGAGAAAAAAAAATGGAAACACTCTGTGTAAATAGGGAAGGGTGGAGGGATGAGGGGCTCACAGGTAATGGGGGAAAAAAGAAGAACCAAGATACATCATGTACAGGTACAAGCACCCAATGATAAATGTAAATGTATTGTATACCTAAAATGTACATATATATATGAGAGACATTGTCCTTAATGCGCATCTTAAAGGCTGAAATCAGTCAGCTGTGCCCACTGAAAATGCCAATTACAGGAGGTGGGAAAGAACTTTTTTTGTTCAAGGCATTTGGAGTTTGCAATCTGAAGCCCCACATTCCTGACTAATATAGTTACTTGGTCAGGTATCCGCTACATGTGATCATTTAACAACTGATTTCACTGAAGTTCAGCACCATCGATTATAATCTGGTTCTGCTCAAGAGAAGGCAGTCCTTATCGAAACGGCACTGACCTTACTTAAGACCAGGGAGAAAATGTGCCTTTCCCTCTCCATCCCATGGAACATTCCCGCTGAGAGTCCCTACCCCGTTCCTTCTCCTCAGCAGTTCCTAACTCACCCTGTCTATCACCATGTTGCTTTTTGGGGCTTCATCTCATCCACTGGGACCTAGTGAAAGGGAGCAAGTGGCTTCCGACGGCCCCAGGTTGGCAGGGCAGGGCCGGGAGCTCTCCAAAGCACGCTGGTCTCCCAGGAGCCCTGTCCCTCCTGTCTCTGTGGCTCCAGAAATTCCCAACCTGCAGTGTGAAGTGTGTCTGCTGCTCTCCCTTTGCTGATCAGAGCCTTCATTTCATTTTCAGAGCAGAGGTTAATCATTATCATGAAGAGATTATGTAACATCTTGAATATTAAAAATCTGACTTCACAAAATAAGATTTACTTTCCAAGGGTACTGCTGTTTATCAGTATCCATTATTCAACTTGCTCTTCTTTTTGGGTGCTGGGGATTGAACTTGGGACCTTGTGCTTGTGAGCCAGGTGCAGTACCTCTGAGCTAAACAAATCCCAGGCCCAACTTGCTCTTTTTTAAAAATCCTTTTTGAGAAATATCACTTTGAGAGGCAGGGGACATTCCTTGCCCCCCATGGAGACCACACTGAGAAGGCTCTCCATCCGAGCTCCCAATGTTGGCGGCCCTGATCTGTCACCTCTCCAGTCACCAAACTTGGGTGACAATTGTTGAGTCACCCAGAGTCAGAACAAGAAGAGATCTTAAAGTTTACTTTCCAGTGCTCCCACTTCTGGTTGGGAAGTGAGACTTGGAAGGACAAGTATCAGAGTGAGTTCTTTGTTAAAGGCAACCACTCCACCAACAACTTAAGGAGAGAGAGCATGAGTGTTTTTGAGGCTGTTAGGTAGCTCAGAAATCCTGGGAGGTGGGAGAAGAGGTACTTGACTATTAACAGGAAATAGGAGTCCTAGGGGCTGCCCGAGAAAGACATCACCATTTCAGTCTGTCAAGGGTTGGATGGTGTCCTCTGAAATACACACTCAGGTCCTAACCCTTGGAGCTTGTGAATGGGATCTTTGCAAAAAGTGTCTTTACAGTTGTGAATGGGTTATGGATCCTGAGATGAGGTGATGGTGGATTATCTGAGTGGCCCCCAAATCCAACACAAAAGTCCAGATACAAAACGTGCCAGAAAAGGACACAACCAGAGAAAGCCACATGAAGACTGAGGCGGAGAATAGACTCCTGCGCCATAAACCAAGGAATGCCTGAGGCCACCAGCAGCCAGAAGAACCAAGGGAAGACTCTCCCCACTGAGAGCCATACCATTCTGGGAACGGCCTCGCCACACAGCGTGGGTGTCTGATTGGCAGGGCCTAGGTCACATGCTGCATCTTGGCTACAAGGGATGCTAGGAGCATGGAAAGGACTAGCATGTAGGATGCTGCAAGATGCTAGGGAGCTCACAGTGTGACAGATATCCTCTACAAAGTCACTTACCCAAAGTCACAGCGTTAGCCTGCTTGGGCTGCTGGAGCAAAATACCACCAACTGCGCAGCTTAAACAGCATTCATTTTCCCACAGCTGTAGAGACGGAGTTGCTGGCAGGATCAGTTTCTGGTGAGACTTGTAGTTAGCTTTCTTCTTGCTGTGTCCTCCCGTGGCCTCTCTCTGTGTGTTCAGAGGGAGAGGGAGAGAGATAGAGAGAGAGAGAGAGAGAGAGAGAGAGAGAGAGAGAGAG